TCCTGCCTGCCTCTTTTTCGGGGGCGATTGCACCTGGTCCAAAAATGCTACATCTTGGTCCGTCGAAGGCGGAGGCTGCCCGTGGTTCTCGCCGGCCCGGAGTCTTTCGCCATTCAATCTTGATTGCTGGAAACTCTCCGGCGCCCAGGAGTTCGTCGCGTCAAAAGCCGAGGGCGCGAGACCTAGCGAAGCTTGCCCTATCCCGCCTCGAGGTGCGTTGCTCAGGGAGCGAAGCGGTGCGCCCAAGCCCCCCACCTGGGGTGTCCCGTTCGTGGGTGCGGGGTCGACACCCACGGCAGTGCCGGTGCCGCCAGGCCGGCGGGCCGACACATCCACGCCAGGGCTTAGCATGCTCGCCGCCGAAAGACCAAGGCCTGCTCCTCCGCCGTCCCCTCCTCCACTGATGGTGCCGGCGCCACCCGCCTGGTGGAAGGCAGGAACGCCTACGGCAAGGCTCGGCATGCCCGCCGCGGAAACACGAGCGCCCGGCTCTCCCCCCTCCCCACCCCGGCTGGTGGTGCCGGCGCCGGCCGCCTGTTGGAAGGCCGGAACGACCACGGCAAGGCTCGGCATGCCCGCTGCGGAACCACCCGGGAGCGCCCATCCTCCCCCTGTTCCTGTCGAACCCCTCCCGCCACGCGCCCTCGCCCCCCCCCGCCTCTCCNAAGGCTAGGCAGCTTGCTCTCGCCGCTCCAAACCCACGGCGGGAGCAAGCAACTGGTCCAGCTGCCTCGCCTTCGGGAAGGAGGTCGCATCTCTCATGACAGCGTTGACTCCGTCGCCCCCTGCCAACGCGTCCTAGGCAACCTGCTGAACCACGCAAAGCAGCTCATCGATGTGGAGGTGACGTCGCAGCATGAGACCTCCACGAGCCGGATTTTCAAGGGAGTCGTTGCCCGGCCTACGACCGCCACCGACCCGCCAGACGGAGATGACGTCGGGACCGCGCCGGGCGGCGGTCGCAAGTGGGGAAGCGGTCGAGGGAGGCGGGGGGGGGGCGAGGGCACGTGGCGTTAGAGTACCAGCTCAGGATCTTGACCGTGTTCTGTTCAATCTCCTCGTCGGTCATCTCGATTTCGAACGTTCGTGGAGGGTCGTGCTCGCCTCCGCTCGCCCCTGAGCCCCCAAGGTAGTGGTGCAGGCACATCCACGTCTGAGTCATTGGGATTTGACAGGCGATCACGGGCACCGCACAAGAAGGGTGTCGAGAGAGGGCCGAAGGGGTGTGAGAGTATGCAAAGGGTTACATTCTAACTGGCGGCGCTCCTATACCGGTTCCCCGAACGACACCATGCGCGTGGGAAATGTCTTGCACCACTCCATGTGCGGTAGGCTAAGCGAATAACACGCCACCATACTTACCCTCGATATGGTAGGACTTGCTTGATTTGCCGGTCAGTTCGCCGCCATGTAAAACTGGCAGTCCACCTGGGAGTCGAGTCGAAATTTGAAACCACAATTGTGTGCCGGTTGTGCGGGGGGAAGCGGTGCGTCAGCGCGGGCAGGTTTGATTTCGCCATCGGTCTTGAAAAACGAAGGAACGTGTTATTGCCAGCACACACACAACATGACCAAACGCCTTTCGGGTGCAATACGTAGATTCGTTCGTCGACAGTAAAGCCGATATATACTTCAAAAAGCAGCAGTGTAACACTCCGTATGGCGATTCAAGTTTGCAACCTCAACACGGTCGAACGATGTGCTGTGCCGAGGACAAGCGCTAAGACAGGGTTACAACATGTTTTCCAAGACCGCCACCAAGAAAACGGCAGTGTTCAGAGAACAACCCGTGCATTCATATTTGTGGATTTGGCAGGACTTCCGAAGGAAGAAAACGTGCGGACCGGTGCGGACATGGGTGCTCCGGTGATGAAGATGGGAGCATGCCAGAGGGGTGCGGTACGAAACAAAAACAATCTATGGTACAAAAATACACCTGCGCAAAACAAAACAAAACAAGACAGAAGAAATGTGCCCTTCATTGCCAGACGAATGTAGACATCCCACTCCACAGCCAAGCGGGTTCCATGAGGCTGCTGTTGCGTATTTTTTCATCAGGCGCCGTCTTCAGGCTTCGAGTGTTTTTCCATATTGAACTCCGCGAGCCCCGAGGTTCGCCGCCTACTCTTTCCGCCCATCGGCAAACAGACGTATGCATAGGACCGAAAAAAAACAAGCAGCTTCGGCAAGCTCGACAAAATCATAATCATAATTCATATTCTATCATCTCACGAACAGATCACCACCTTCGTCGTCGTTGTGTCCTTCGCCGGGTTCGGCCGCTTGTCCGGCGTACCACTGTGCTTGCAAACGAATTCGACGCGTCTTCACCTCTTCTTGGTCATCCGAGCGTGCTCCACGGCTCCAGCGTGAAGCTGGCCGGACGGTGAAACGGATTGTTTTCATGTGCCAGTGGCGGGTTACAGGTACAGCAGTTTCTGGCCGGACGGTGAAACGGATTGTTTTCATGTGCCAGTGGCGGGTTACAGGTACAGCAGTTGAGGGTAAATTTCCAACGTAGTAGTACATTCACTGGTGGTGAGCAAGCGCCATACGGATGCTCATATGCCCCCGCGTGTGCTTTTCAGTGTACGAGACAGCGGAAAGCGAAAAGAGCGCCCCGAACCAGCCTGCGAGAGGGCACGAGGCCGAACGAGCTGTTTCTAGCCGAAACGAACTACTTTCTCGAGCCGGCTGTTGATAGAAGCTACGCGGAGCACTCAGTGCGCACCCTCTGCTTGTTTCGCCGTACTATCTTGTGCGGCTTGAAGCGCGCTACAATGGTGTTAGCGACATGGGCCCATGCGCCCTCCCCGCACCTTCGGATCTCCTCAATTGGCTAGCCTGCGGAGCTGCTCCAGGAGGTGGCGGAGCGATGCTTGGCGCTGGTGGGGCAGTGGTTGAAGCTGGAGGGGCGGTGCTTGGAGCTGCCGGGGCAGTGGTTGGAGCCGGAGGGGCGGTGCTTGTAGCTGGAGGGGCGGTGCTTGTGGCTGGAAGGGCGGTGCTTGTAGCTGGAGGGGCGGTGCTTGTGGCTGGAAGGGCGGTGCTTGTAGCTGGCGGGGCGGGGCTTGGAGCGGGAGGGGCGGTGCTTGGAGCGAGAGGGGCGGTGCTTGGAGCCGAACGAGCGGTGCCTGGAGCTGGGAGGGCGGTGCCATTGCCAAATCCTCCTCAGCTGTTAGCGTCCGTGGTGTCATCGCCAACGTCTCTGCCCAACACGTCCTCTTCTCCCGGACCATACGTCTCTGAATGTCCGCGCAGTCCTGCCATGCGCGGGGTGAAATCCAACGCACTGCTGCTGCTCCCAGTTTCATCTCTCGCAGTAGGAACGGCTGAGAGAGCAGAGCTCTGCAAAGTGGTAGCATGTGCAGCATCCATGCCACGGCTGGTGGTCTACACCAAAGTCTTAACCCGTTGGGGGTACGACCCCTCGGGGTCTGCTGCTGTTATTCGTCTGCTGTGTGCTGCTGGGGTGTCGTGTGCTGAGTGCCGCAGATCAATTCAAAAATTGGTTCTGTAATGGCTAGTTCCGGAAACGTTTTGAGGGCAGGCCGGTCCCCGCCTGCCCTCGAGGGCAGATTTCCGCAGTTTCCGGGCGCTGTCAAAGAGCCTGTCAAACAATGCGGCGCAAACAAAGAGGAGGGGGGTCCGCGATGTGCAACCTTCACCCATCCCACCGTAGTTGCTGAGAATTGCTCAGCGAGGTGCAGATGCGCTGTTTCGTTCGTTGTTGTGCTTTGGTTGTTGCTCGCTCTCACTCTGCTACCGCTGCCGTTGCAGGGATTTAAAGCAGCCGCGTGACCTGCTGTATTAGTATGCCCCGCCGCCTTCTGGCCGCTGTTTTCGCCGGCGTTGCTGCTCTCTTTCTTCTGCAATGCGGCGATGGCTTTACCTTCGTCACTACAACTTCGCCCGTGCTCTCGCCCCGGTCAACAGTGTACCCTCCGAGCAGATTTGCACCGTTGAGTACTAGAGGCGGGATCTCGATGTCTGGATCGAGGTGAGAGAGAGGACAGTAACCGTAGCAGTTAGCGCTTGAAGGTGTGAAAGGTCTGTGCGTCTTGTAAACATCTCGGTGGCGTTGGGCTTTATTTTGAATTCCATTTATCCCGCCGCATTTCCGCAACCAGCTGTGCAGATCCCAACCTCCAGCCCTACCATCCACCACCAGCTTCGTGCTCTACGGAGAAGGCCACCCGTCAACCCTCGCCAGCTACCTCCACACTCTCCCAATCAGTTGGGGTTCGAGTGTAGAAAGTATGGTGATTGTTGTGTTGCCACCTTTACAATACTTGTTCTCTCCAAGTCTCTAGGAAAAAAAGATACCATCGGGGTTCAAGTCTCGGAACATAGACTAAGCATACTTCTTGTTGCATACAGCAGTACTGCTTCGTTCACCTGGACAACAGTTGACACACAGCCGCCGGCTGCTGACGTGCCGGTTTTTCACGCGTGTCCACTCGCCTCCGGCACCATAAGGTGTGCCATCATCCAGCCGTACGTCGGCAGGATGCTCAGAAACACGCCCAAAGGAATCTCAAATCATCGTTGGTCTCTCAAACCAGTCTAAACCTTGATCGCGACAGAGTTGTCTCCGTGTACACCTCTACCCTCTACCCTCGAGAGAGTGTAGATTACCTCGTGCGGTTTCTTCGCATTTCATCTTCAGCACCATTCAAGAGGGAGGGCCCACAACAGCAGTAGCCCCTACCCGTAAGCGGGCGCTTGCATATCGTCATTGGTGTGGTTGCACACGACTGTCATGCGGGCCTGCTGGCTGTGAGAAGTGAGAAACACTTTTGGCCGGACACCGCGCGGGAGACAACAACGAAAAAACGTTTCGCCGATGTGCGTATAACGCGGCTAGGGATGTAAGCTAAATGGATGGCTTTCGTTTCCCGCGCTAGCTCACTTCCTCTTCTTGTCAAAGCATTCGATACCGTAAATGACACAAGATAACACACCCCCTGGACAGTTTTTCAAATCTCGATTTCTCAACAACAGTAAGAGTCACGGAGCGAAAACGGCGGCGTTGGAACCGTCTCGTCGAGAGCTTTCGAAAAATTTATCGTTTCGTTTATGCATACTCTTCGTCGTGGAGTAATCGAGCTTTGAAAATTGGTCCAGGCGGTGTATTATCTTGTGTCGTATACGGTATCCAGTTCCGTTCCATTGTGCTCGCGACCACTAACCATGTGATGTGCTGGTTTTCGTTATTCCCCGTTGGGTCGTGGCAGCAACGGCCGCGAGAGCTATAGCTGGGACGAAGACGTGCTCGATAGAGCGGTGAAGGACATGCTTGTCGACAGGGCGGTGGAGACGGTGCGACACCTGTGGAATGAGACCGGCGGTGAGAGCCTGCTTCTTTTCGTTTCATCGATTTGTCACATACGTGTGCAGCGATTTCATGAGGCGAGAGAAACGAATGAGCTCTCTGCTTGTGCAGAGACTGGAGTACCGCCTGCATGTATACAACTCCTCGAGGGTATACCGATTCTGGCCCCGTGAACGTTGAGATCAGGGTACTATACTTAGCGATATCTCAGAGCGTACCTTTTTGTCATCGTAGCTGCTGTTGTTGCCGTTAGCAGCGCGTGACGGGACACTCTGGCATTGGCGAAGTAATACCGGACGTTCTTCCAGACTTTCTCTCTCTCTCTCTCTCTCTCTGTCTCTCTCTCTCTGTCTCACTTACACACGCTTAGTTATGCAGTCGGCCGGCGCGGCAAATGCTTTGTGACAAGGATTTTGCTTTTGCTCACCCGTATGTCTTGGAACTTTTATTAGTACGTCTCGCCTCGTTGTCATGGGTGTTCTGTGTGTAGAGCACACACGCTCACCACTGCACTCCAGCCCTCCGCCTATCCTCCTCCATCAATCAACCCCCCCTATTTTCATGTATGTATGCATGCATGCAGGAGACACCCACCCACCCCCGGCTGTTCTTCCTTATCTATCGGTCCCCCTCGTTTTGTTCTCATCTATGTATGCATGCAGGGGACATCCATCCACCCCTCTCTCTTCTTCCCTATCTTTCGGTCTCCCTCTTCTTGTTGTTCATGTATGTATGCCTGCAGGGGACATCCATCCACCCCCCTCTCTTCTTCCCTATCTGTCGGCCCCCCTCGTTTTGTTCATGGATGCATGCATGCGTGTAGGGGACATTTACGGTCAGTGGTTGGACCGTTTCACCGCCAGGCAGAACCTAGGCGATGACGTCATTTCGACCATGGGCTGGGCGCGCTTTCTCATCAAGATGTAAGAGCTGTCGCCGACCATGGTGGCGGCGGGATAAGGGGCACGCAAATGGCAGACGAAAGCAAGCAACAACCGCGTTTTTTTGTTTCGTGGCAAATTGTGTTTTGTTACCTTTCAAGTCATGTACATCCCAGTCCTGCCTGTTTCTCTGTGGAAACCATCGGTACTGTATTTTGATTTCTCTCCTGTTTGGTGTAGTACGAACCAGCTGCCGAAGTTCCTTGGGACGGAGATATGTGGTGTACTTTTACGGCGTTACAAGTCTAGTGCTACACAGCGGCAGGCACGAGTAGCCGTTCCTCCTGTATTTCATACCTTACACTGGTACGTATCGTCTTTCTGCTTCTTGCGCCGTCGGCAATAGTCAGTAGAAGGTACACCGCCCGTTCTCCTCGGGGTCGCGTTCGGTGATAGACCCCTTGCCTATATCCTGTCTGCCAGCCCCCCTGCCTTTCGCGCGCCCCGTACGCGCGCTTTTGTTGTTGCGGTTGTTGTCGCCCTTTTTCGTTGAATATCGGGGCTTAGGATGAGAGAGGAACCGGTGGAAGCGGTCGTGATCAGGACGGCGAAGAAGGACAGCCCCCAAGTTATCGAGGCGCAACGCAAGGCACGAGTCCGGATACTAATGTCCTCGCCGCCATGCCAGCCTTGGTGTCTTGCCCTTGGTGCCTATACAGACAACTACCCTCGCCCTTTCTTTCCATTTTGTGCATGTGCCAAACGTACTTAGATTCCCGGTCACGCAAGAGGGACGTGCCGCCCGCCCTCTCCCCTGCCCCCGAATAGTAAGACCGTCCGCGCTGACGTTTGATTATAGAGAGCCAAAGGAGTGAGCTCACTCGTTATTTCGAGTGAATTAGCCACTAAAGGCTGCCCCAGGCACCCCGATGACCAAACAGGCGTGCAAGTCTTTTAGCTCTTGTGCGAGAGTCACCTCCGATTGAGCACAATCGACATTTGCATACCATGTCTTCCGAGATTACTTTTTGGTGGCGAGGAAGGGGATAGGTTTCACAGCGGTATAGTGTTGTCTGGGATTGATGCTCTTGGACGATGGTACCAACGGTTGAGTTGTGACGGGTGCTGTTTAGATCGTGCTGGTTGTTTATTTCGTTCTGGAGGCCTGTTGGGTCATAGTCCACACGTCGGCGACGGACCGACAGGAACCAACCCTTGCCTCTGATGCGAATCGCCAGACTTACACACACCGGCTGAGCGCTATATCGCCGTGTCTGACGCGTCTTCGAAGCTCGATATGCCCCCCCGATGTGCTTTGAACGGTTCCCAGGATCTAGTGTTCAAATTGCCCGCGAGTCATGCATTATACCTTACGAGGACACATCCCTTGCCACACACACACATATCCCTTCCCCCCTGCTCCGTCTCGAAAGGGACGCGTGGTCAATGGTCAAATGACTACGGCAAGCAACAAGTGAGTACGCCCCCCCCCCCCCCCCCCCCCCCCCNCCCCCCCCCCCCCCCGCCCCCTTTACTGCGAGTATGCATGATAGTACCTTGCGGCAAACCCCGCTTGTCCCCGCCCCATTCTCCCCCCAGAATAACGCCCGTCCACCGACGCTGAGTCCGTGGCGACATTCCGTGAATCAGCTATCTGCGGACTGGGACGCCGAGGAAGAGGTGGGGGTTTTAGTCTCGCCAACACCAGGCCGTGGTTGACGTACAAGGAGGGCTGATCACCCGCAAGAGCTTGGTATTCCAGAGTTTGACGGGGAAAAATTTAAACTTGGAAAATAGCTCAGAAATCAAGCAGTAGCTCACGTTTTTCGTGGTGTCATGATAAAAAGAGTCTATTTTGTGTACGTGGTCGCTGTTTGACCAATCGATGCGACATCTGATCCGAGGTAGGGCACCTTGCCCCCTCCTAGTCAGAGGAAGAATGTATCCTGCGGGACCCCCTTGACTTCGAAGCTTCCATCTACTACAAGAGTGTTGCCAAGAAGGACGGACTCGGCTCCAGGCCTGCTTGTGTCTTTGGCCACTTGACTACTAAAGAGCTTGGGGGACCCGTGTGAGGATGGACAATGAACACTCTCCATGATCGACTCTGCTCCGTCCCGATACTTTTCGGAACAGACTGTTCGGGAAATTGTTCCAATGCATCATACCGAAGCCCCCTTCCCAATCTCCCAGGCACGATGCAGATAGGATGACCCCCTCCCCTCCCGCCCCCCCGCCCCCCCCGCCCCCCGCACGCGCTCACACAATCACTGCTACGATGGTAGGAGGAGATGAAGGTGGCCCTGGACTATCCCCCTCAGCTGAAGGCCGTTAAGAGGAGCGTGGTCGTGCAGCCGGCGGAACTGGCGAAAAAGCTTATGGACATCCGGGAACAGCTAGCCCTGGAGTGGCGGGAAGACTTGAAGAACATCGAGGTGCGTGCGGTGCGGCAGCGGAAGAAGCAACGCTCACTTGTAAAGACCTGAACACATACCTTCGATCTGGGCATTGTCTCGAAAGGATAGTGGAGTCTTCGCTGTAAGTTTGTGCGTATTTCTTTCTGAGAAACTGGGAGTTAAAGTCTCGGTTTGACCGCGCTTTGTCTGAGAACGTAACACCCGCCCCGTTGCCGTAAGCTGACGTGATGAGCGTTGGGACGAGTCGTCTTTGTGTCTCACATGGGGTACCGACCCGCCTCGGACATGAGGATGGTGTCGAAGACAAGGACGCCTGCTTGTTGTTTTGTGTTGAGGGGCCCGATCTCGTGGGTGTCAGGGCCAGCCTTGTGTCTCGTGTTAGTCGCTGTAGACGCGCTGCTGTCTTTCGCGTCCGCCGTAAGCGTGCTGGGATCGCTGCTGTGTGTTTCGCCTCTAGTTAGCCGTTGATACCCGATCGGCGACTGTTTGTGTTTGGCGTCCTGCTGTGCTAACAATAAAACGAACAGAAAAAATGCTTTTGGTTCGGAGCTAGTCTGGGATGAAGGGCCTTAAAACAGAGGAGGTCGCAACTACCATTTTCAGCACCATGCTTATGTCGTCCTCACGTTTGGGGGAGGAGGTAGGGTAGCATGTCATCTCTCCTCTTGCCTGCCCCAATTTATGGCTGCTGTCTTCTTCTTCCTCGCTGTTCACCGCTCGCTGCCCTCTTTGAGTGCTGCCGCCGCTGCCGCCGCCGCCGCCGCTCGTAAATCGTAAATCGTGAATCATGGAAATAAAAAAAAATCAGGTCGAGAACGACGAAATCGTCCGCCTGGACAACGACAGACGGAGGAGAGCCAGGGAGGCGGGGCCTGGGTACGACGAGGTGGAGCAGGGCGGCGGCGGCGGCAGCCGCAGGAGGTTGACGTACGACCACGGGCAGGCCTTCGGAGGGGACAGCAGCCCCCTGCGCTCCGACAACTACGAGACGCTGGTCGGCTACTTGACGGAGATCGGTGAGGACAGGGGAGTCAAGCACGATCGGTCGTGGTTTTGTTGTCGCCGGTGCCGTGGTCACGGCCGTCTCCAAGTTGTCGTTATTTTGACGGTTATGTAGAAGAAGTATTTTCGGTCATGCGGTCGGGCGGAGGAGAGAAGGCATTAACCGCGCGGTTCCTAGCGCCTACACCTGCCGTTGCTGTGGTGCCTCCCATGCGGGTAGGTTCTTGCCACGTTAATTTTTCGGAATGGTTTTCGTGGAATGCATAGTTCCGAGGTCGTGCCGTCTTCCAATTTCACGAACAAAGATTGCGGCTGCTTTTCCTGGTGACGGAAGCAATTGGGTCAGACTAAAACACGTCGTAACATTGACAGCATGTCCGAGCATGGCGTTCCGACGCGCCGCATACTCGTTGTATCACCAGGTCGATAAACAAGCCTACACTCGATGGACGTGAAAAAAGCCAGCATTGCGTAACTCCCTCTGTTTTTTTGTCTGTGTCCGACGGCGTGTGTTGACCTTGTCGGCCTAGAACGTGAGGATGGAGACACAGACGAAACAGAGGTAGAATTTTTTGTTTTTTTGCCAAAATGAAGACCTTGTGCCGACTTGTCTTTTTCCAAAAAACAAAAAGAAAACTTTGTATTCACACATGTACGTCCACATTTGTTTTTTAATCCAAAACATGTTTTTTGTCGGTCGATCCATCAGCGGCCCTCGTCGTACAAGAACGCATGCGGGTGGACGGGGACGACATGGGATGGAACTGGATGGAGCAGTTCCTCTATTGGGCGAAGGCCAACTCCAAGTACGGTTCCGCCGCACCCGGGGACGAGAGTCTAGAATCCCCTCCCCCCTTTCCTTCGGACAATGGCGGCGATGGTGGCATTGGAGAGGAACGGGGGGCGAGGGGAAAGCGGGTCAAGGCGGCGTTTGGGGCCGCGGGGGTGGGCATGGGGGGGACGGATGAGGACCGTAAGACCAGGTGGGATAGGCGACGAGAAGGAGAAAGGATCCTGTCGGTAGGATGGATAATTGTGTGTGTGTGTGAGAGAGAGAGAGAGAGAGCGATGAGCACTTAAGGGTTGCTGGGCGAGGAGGAGGGGGGG